ACTTGCTCAACACCGCTGCTGACAACGTCTCCCTTACAGGTTCGACTCTTCTGTCGGCCGCGGCGATTTCATCACCCGCATTGGTGTCGGCCAGGTCATTAAGGGTATGTTCCGACCACGCCTGCCACGATCACTACCCCCTTACTTCACCGCAGCAATCTGCAGATGATATCCCGCTAGTTTTCGTCTGCGTGACCGCTAATACACATACGCTGCAGGTTGGGATGAGGGCGTCACCACCATGAAGGTTGGCGAGAAGGCCACCCTTGACATTACCAGCGACTATGCTTATGGCGAGCGGTAAGCATCTTCTTCAGCCGCTGTGCCGTTGCGGTACATGACAGACACTGACTTTCGGTTCTAGCGGCTTCACCGGTCACATTCCCCCTCGCGCCGATCTCATCTTGTATGTATCACCTACCTTGGCATTGGATCCAACCCTTTCCGGCATTGTCATCAAGCTAACAAGCTTTACTACAGTGACGTTGAGCTGAAGCACGTCGAATGATTGTAAGCACCTTGCTTCGCGAGGGCTATAGACTATAGAGAAACTGGCGATGTTATACGTTCGGATCGTTTGCTCTGGGCGCGAACACATGGAAACTGCGTCATCCAATTGAGGCCCCGTCGTGCAGTTGGGCGATGCTGCTCAGCCAGCCACTCAGACACGCGCTAGATTGAATACAATCCAAAAGAAATTCCCAAAATGACCCTCGGTGTCCTCGTACTGTCAAGCACGCCAAGCTGATCAGTAGCTGCGTAAACGCCGGATCTTGTGCACGGAGATTGGGTTCACTTCGCACAGCAGCGACGACGGGTGTCACGCATCTGCTCAATTATCTACAACCATTGTCGTGATCCAGTCTCGCCAAAAGTTGCCAACGGATGACAACCCTACCATGGTGATATCCAGGGTTGTTGATATCTAGATCACTGCGTTCACAGCATCAACGTTGTCGATGGTCGGTGATGAATTATTCATGATGGCATGTCACTAAATCACCTAACATTGATGCCGACAGTGGCCTGTTATGATCTCCGAGGTGCGCATCAGAGCAGCCGACTTTCATTCATGCTAGACTGTAGAGGTGCTAGATTGTTGGAGGATCGTGTCAATGTCAGGGGAGCTTAAGGGCCAGTGGCACTGGACTTCGCCCCGCGATGGAACTCGGTAGATCATCGGAGAAGCTGGCTCAGGACAGCAGAAGCACAGTGCCGGAAAAGAGTTTTGACCCCTCCACTATGTTCAGCCAGACACGTTACTTTGTTTCCTTGTACAGCATGTTCTACTGACTTCGCAATAAACCATGAGGTCAATCCGATTGCAGTCATCCACCAGCCTTGCCCGGGCGTAGATAGCTTGAAGGCACCCTAGGTACTTAGTAATGATGTCAGGAGCGGGAGACGCTTCTGCTCCTGTTAGAAATCGCCTACCCGTGGACCTAATTGTGCCCACAAGCGGTGGAGCTCCAGCGCCATACACTGTGTGGCAGTGTGTGCGTAGTACGTAAGAGAAGCTCCCCCAGCCAAGGTAGATTTGTGAGGTAGCCCGGCACCTTTCTAGCGTCAGGCAGTTGCTTACCTTATCCGTAAGGTAGCGACCGGGCTCTATGGAAGGTAGCTAGGTGCCTCTCACCTCCCTCAACCCCCACTGAATCACCCAGTTACCCCCCTGTCCCTCGTCAACACCACCCCTCTCCACCCGCAGGTTCCTCGACCACCTTTAACATCACTTCAACAAGGCTACTCTTCTGCCATCTGCGTCTCCATCTCGGAATCTCTACGAGTTTGCCTGGTGCACATTTCCAATTTCCACGCAGCGCACTTCCCTTTTCACGAACCCAATACCAACGGACCCCGCGGCCGAACGAGACGATACCTTCAAACACACATACGGGACACTTCGCTTCATCGTTTGGTGGGGTTGAGCTGATCGTCCCACCGCCGTGTTTCCCTCCACGTCATAGCAGCACCTCGAGAGAAACAGCTCGCCAAGCTGGGGAAGCGCAAACTTTCCAACGGCGGGACACCGAATTCCCAGAAAAAAGCCATGGCTGTACGTTTTACCCCCTCGACTACGGTTGTGGCCGAAGCGAATGCTTCGCCAGAACGATCTTCTAACCCCGCAGCGCCGCTGCAGCTCGCGGCGTGGCCGGCCTCTTCACGTCGCGTCGTATCAGTCTGCTAATAATATCACCATGCATAGGACAAAAAGTTAACGGAGGTCGACCTGGTGACCCGTATGCAGGTTGACGACTCCGTCGTAGGGCTGACCGAGATCGACGAATCCCTCTACAGTCGCCAGCTCTATGTTCTAGGCCACGAGGCCATGAAGCGCATGGGCGCCTCGAATGTTCTGATTGCCGGTCTCAAGGGATTAGGTGTCGAGATTGCCAAGAATATTGCTCTTGCCGGAGTCAAGAGTCTCACACTCTACGACCCTGGCTTGGTCTCCCTTGCCGATTTGTCCTCACAATTCTTCCTCCATCCGGAAGATGTTGGAAAGCCCAGGGATGAGGTTACGGCTCCTCGAGTCGCCGAGTTGAACGCATACACACCGATCAAGGTCCACCAGTCGTCCAAGTAAGTTCAGAAAATGAAATGCCGAAGAAGACCTAGCTGACGAACGACGTAGCTTGGGCGAGAACCTCTCCCAATTCGACAAGTACCAAGTTGTCGTCTTAACTAGCCTTCCTCTGAAACTGCAGACTCTTATTGGCGATTACTGCCACTCTAAAGGCATTTACGTCGTTGCCGCCGACACGTTCGGTCTATTTGGCTCCATATTCTGTGACTTTGGCGAGAACTTTACCGTCATCGACCAGACTGGTGAAAGCCCCTTGAGCGGAATAGTCGCCGGCATTGACGAGGAGGGACTCGTCTCTGCTCTTGACGAGACCCGTCATGGACTTGAGGATGGGGACTATGTCACATTTTCTGAGATTGAGGGTATGGAAGGCTTGAATGGATGCGAGCCTCGCAAGATCACTGTTAAGGGCCCGTACACATTCTCGATCGGCGATGTTTCCGGTCTTGGCCAGTACAAGCGCGGAGGTCTCTACCAGCAGGTCAAGATGCCCAAGTCTATCAACTTCAAGAGCATCACCGCTGCGATTAAGGAGCCTGAATTTGTCATGTCTGACTTTGCCAAATTCGATCGCCCCCAGCAGTTGCATCTTGGTTTCCAGGCTCTCCACGCGTTTGTGGAGAGCCAGGGCCGCTTCCCCAACCCCTTGGACGATGGAGATGCCACGGTAATCCTCCGCTCCGCAGAGGAGTTCGCCAAGGCCGAAGGCCTCGAGGTTGAGTTCGACGAAAAGCTGATCAAGGAGCTGAGTTATCAAGCTCTTGGCGATCTCAACCCCATGGCAGCTCTGTTTGGTGGAATTACTGCGCAGGAGATTCTCAAGGCCGTTTCCGGCAAGTTCCAGCCCATCAAGCAGTGGATGTACTTCGACTCGCTCGAGTCTCTTCCGACTAGTACTGCACGTACTGCGGAGCTCTGCAAGCCGTTGGGCACTCGATACGACGGACAGATTGTGGTTTTCGGTCGCGAGTACCAAGAGAAGATCGCCAACTTACGCCAGTTCCTTGTGGGTGCGGGTGCCATCGGATGCGAGATGCTCAAGAACTGGGCCATGATTGGCCTGGGTACCGGCCCCAAGGGCAAGATCACGGTTACCGACATGGATTCCATCGAGAAGAGCAACCTCAACCGTCAGTTCCTATTCCGCGCCAAGGATGTCGGCAATATGAAGAGCGATTGTGCGGCAGCAGCCGTTCAGGCCATGAACCCTGACCTTAACGGCCACATCGTCTGCCTGAAGGATCGCGTAAGTCCTGAGACTGAGGAGACCTTCAACGAACAGTTCTGGAACGACCTAGATGGTGTCACAAATGCACTTGACAACGTAGAGGCGAGAACATACGTTGACAGACGTTGCGTGTTCTTCCGCAAGCCTCTCCTTGAAAGCGGCACCCTCGGAACCAAGGGTAATACTCAGGTTGTGCTCCCACATCTCACTGAGTCCTACTCCTCCTCTCAAGATCCTCCCGAGAAGGAATTCCCCATGTGCACCGTGAAAAGCTTCCCCAACAAGATCGAACACACCATTGCCTGGGCAAAGGACCATATGTTCGAGAATCTCTTCATCACGTCTTCTTCGACTGTCAACCTCTATCTGACGCAGCCCAATTACATCGAGGCCACATTGAAACAAGGCGGCAGTGCTAAGTTGACTCTGGAGACGCTCCGCGACTACCTGACTACCGATCGCCCGCGTACATTCGAAGACTGTATCGCATGGGCACGGATTTTGTTCGAGAAGGAGTTCAACAACAAGATCCAACAACTTCTGCACAACTTTCCCAAGGACTCGACAACCTCCAGTGGCACTCCCTTCTGGTCTGGTCCCAAGCGGGCCCCTGATCCGCTCAAGTTCGATGCCAAGAACCCTACTCACTTTGCGTTTGTTGTGGCTGCTGCCAATCTGCATGCATTCAACTACAACATCAAATCCCCTGGCACTGACAAGGACATTTATCTGCGTGAGCTTGAAAATGTGATTGTGCCTGACTTCTCGCCTGCGGAAGGCGTCAAGATCCAGGCCAATGATAGCGACCCTGTGAGTACCTCGAACGAAAGACTCATCTGTTGGTCATTTCTAATACTTGATAGGACCCGAACGCCGAGGGCGGAGAGGGCAGCTCTTTCGACGACAACAATGAGTTACAGAAGATCATTGCCAGCCTGCCATCTCCTAATGATCTGGCCGGCTTCCAACTCCAACCTGTAGACTTTGAGAAGGACGACGATTCCAACCATCACATCGACTTCATCACGGCTTGCAGCAACCTGCGCGCTGCCAACTACAAGATTGAGCAGGCTGACCGTCACAAGACGAAGTTCATTGCTGGAAAGATCATTCCTGCTATTGCGACAACCACAGCTCTCGTCACAGGTCTGGTCATCTTGGAGCTGTACAAGGTCATCGATGGCAAGCAGGATCTAGAGCAGTACAAGAACGGCTTCATCAACTTGGCATTGCCATTCTTCGGGTTCAGCGAGCCGATTGCAAGCCCGAAGGTGGAGTTCAAGGGCCCGAACGGTATCGTCAAGCTAGACAAGATCTGGGATCGCTTCGAAGTGGCAGATATCACGCTGAAGGAGCTTCTCGAGCACTTCGAGAAGCAAGGTCTCAGCATTTCTATGCTCAGTTCAGGCGTCAGCTTGCTGTATGCCAGCTTCTTCCCTCCTGCCAAGTTGAAGGACCGCCAGAACCTGAAACTGAGCCAGCTGGTGGAAACTGTCTCTAAGAAGCCTATTCCCTCTCACCAGAAGGAGGTCATCTTTGAGATGGTGGCAGAAGATGTTGACGGCGAGGATGTTGAGGTTCCGTACATCAAGATGAAGATGGCCTAAGGGTCTACATTGGAGGGTTTGATACGTCTTGACTGAGGTATGTCGTCAGGGAGGAGCCCTAGACGAACAGACAGATCAGGATGTTGAGCATTCAATATAGGATTCAGAAGAAGAAAAGGATGTATCACAGAGTCAAGTAGGCAACTAGGAACAACAACTTATGTCGCATCTCGACATTCATGGAATGGTATGATGGCGAGAAAACTGGTGCCAGGATAACCGATCCGCATCAAAGGACGATACCCCCAAGTACGTACCCGAATGAATAAGCCCAAGCGTGTACGAGTAAGGTGCAGTGGCCATTTGTAAGCGCTCTGCTTCAGTAGCGTAGAGGGTGGGACAGTATCTGTTGGGTCCTGATTACGTCACCATTAGCAATGCTTAGAGCTGTTGCGCAACTGTTATCTACCTCACGGAAGCCATTTCGCGGACGTTTGCAGAGGGACGTTGTGGATGGCGACTCTAGGCATGTAAGGGGAGAAGACCGTAGATGACATGGGTCATGCATGCCTTTGTAATAATCACCAAAGACACCTTGCGCCCAAGTTGAGTGGCTCGCATGGGCTAGTCGTCCTCGCTTCGTCAATGCGAACAAACGTACGACCACGCAACTACATCGTCCCTTTCTAGACCATACCGTATAAAATCATCATTCCGCCCCCGCACGCTGGCGGCGGGTCCTTGCTGCCGGCCAACATCATCATCATCGCCCATGAACGTGAGGATTCTGAATCGTCTCTCCTATTTCGGCAAACAAAGCCTATGCCACCGTCAACAGTTTCGGTCTTTGACATCAGCCGTGCCATCGCCTCGACACCTCTCGCCTTCAGATTCGTCAACTTTCGTCCAGCATAAAGACGCTTTTCGCAGCCAACAGCTCAGAATGGTACGTAAGGCCGCGACTGGAACAAGATGACCAGAGCCCAGCGGGCAGGTTCTAGATCAGGCACAGGACTGACACGAAAACGCTGCAGGCCAGCAAGATCACCGAGTGGGTTAAGTCCGGCGACAAGTCCGGCGAGTTCAAGCGTCAGCAAAGCTCGTTCCGTGACTCGATCTCCCGGGAGAAAGGCGTCAAGTTTCAAGCTGAGAAGGGCCGCTATCATCTCTATGTCAGCTATGCTTGTCCTTGGGTGAGTTTTACCAACACTCCAGGGCCCTGTTTTCTGGTGGCTGTGCGACAAGTAGCTCACATCCCGCAGGCCTGCCGTACCTTGATCACCCGCCAGCTCAAGGGTCTAGAGGACATCATCAGCTACTCCGTTGTCCACTGGCACCTAGGAGAAAAAGGTGGGTTTGGTGATACGCACAAAATTTCAGTGTGGTAGCTGGGCTGATTGCCCAACAGGATGGCGCTTCGTCACCAAGGGCGAGCAAGAGAGCGTCCCCGGTGACAATGTCGTCCCAGACCCCATCCAGGGCCACGAGAATTTCACGCACCTCCGCGACGTTTACTTCGAGTCAGAGCCCAATTATGAGGGCCGCTTCACTGTCCCGGTGCTGTATGACAAGAAGCTCAAGACCATCGTGAGCAACGAAAGCAGCGAGATCATCCGCATGCTCTACACCGAGGTGACCTAATTTTGGAACCCTGGAAAGATTTGGCGTAGCTGACCTTGGCCATAGTTTGATGACCTCGTGGACGAAAAGTACCGTCGAGTCGACCTCTACCCTGAGACTCTCCGCACCCAGATTGACGAGACAAATGAGTGGACGTACGACAAGATCAACAACGGCGTCTACAAGTCTGGTTTCGCCACGACGCAGGAGGCGTATGAACGCAACGTCGTCGCTCTTTTCAAGGCTCTCGACAAAGCCGAGGCGCACCTCAAGTCGACATATAGCGAGGGCCCATTTTACTTTGGAAAGGTTACCACTGAAGCGGATATCAGACTGTGAGTCTCAGGCGATCCCCTGCTTCTATTTTTACTGTTACTACTGTTTTTCCTTCTTCAGTTGGGCATCAAGGCCAAGCTTACTCTGTCTTTCCCCGCGCAGCTTTGTCACCATTATTCGATTCGATGTGAGTTCAGCTGCATCTTCTTGACCACAAAGTTACTAACAGCTGCACAGCCCGTCTACGTGCAACATTTCAAGACGAACATACGCGATATCCGTTCTGGATACCCTTTCCTTCACAGGTGGATGCGTAATCTCTACTGGAATGTCCAAGCCTTCCGCGACACGACCCAGTTCGAGCATATCAAGTGGCACTACACCAAGAGCCACACTCATATCAACCCTTTCTCCATCACTCCAGTCGGTCCTTTGCCTGATGTTCTCCCCCTCGACGAGGAGGTTCCGGCAGTCAGCACAAAACTGTAAGGACCCATCGCGAAAGCATGCACGGCCAGAAAGAAAGGCAACATCTATGTCCCGCTCGATGTTTAATGCTGTTGGATATTTTCTGGGTGGAGTGTTTTCTGTATGCTACATTTGTCGTCAGGTTAATTATGGGGTCATCCTGAATCTGCATGTATCGCACGCACAGTCTGCTTGATGACGACGTCAAGTAATCACGTTGCATTGCTTATCCGGTGTGGTAGAAGACCACCATTGCATGTACTACCGACAATATCCACAAGCAGCCGAATGATTATTGGCATTTTCATGGCTGCACGTGGATGCATTTTATGCAAGAACAAGTATTGCCCAAATTATGAAACTAAAATCATTCGCTCCTAACCACCTTTATTCGAGGTCTTGAATCGGCAACTCATCTGACAACTTCATCCAGTATTATGCTAGAATCCTCTGTATATAACAATGTGCAATATAATAAACACTTTCCCGGTGCATGCAATTCCTCCCAGCTGATAACAAATAGCAAATGTCCGTAAGCGTGAGAGGTGTTCTCTTTTTTGGTGTCCCCGTAGCCAAATGTGATGCATTAAATTAGATATAAATCACCAACGACGCTGCGTTTTACAACTGGCCTGATAATAGCGCCTCCGTAGCTGCAGATAACGTCAGTAAGAGAAAGATGTGAAAAGTGGCCAGAGGAGGACTAACCGCTGTTGATGTACTGTCGTTTGGCATCCAGAGGAACGCCAAAGCGACGCTCCAGCTCCTGTTTGATACCCTTCTTCGTCACCGTCATCAGATCGGCCGTCCTTAGAATCTCGCGGATCTCGGCCAACAACGCGTCATCGCTGGGCAGGCCGACCATATCTTCGGGGGAGAAAAATTGCGAACCGCCGAATTGGCTGTTGCGGTTACCGCCCATCTCGGACGCTGCAAGGGACATGCGCGACATGTTACGCTGATCGTAACCCATAGGGGCCCTTGGAGGCGCATAGCCGGCAGCAATGGAGCCAGGGCGGCTGTGGTAACCGTACTCAGAAACAGGAACCTGTCCCTTAGTGGCGTAGCTGTAGCCAGAGGCCTCGGAGCGAGCATCCTCGCGGACGGTCTGCGCATCCCAGAGCTCGGCCTGATATTCTTCCCACTTCTTCTTGGGAATGACAGAGGGGTCGAATTTGCCCTCGTCGGAAATAACAATGTTCTTTCCCTTTTCACCAGCGATGACACGAGTGTTACCCCAGTTGAAGTCGTCCATATGCCAGAAGGAGTAGAGAGGCAGGGCAAAACTGAAGACGGGAATGGCAAGGATATACAGAATCATCCAACCGATCATCTCCCACTTGCGGCGGACAATAAAGATGATAGCTTGCAAACCGTAGATTGCTCCAAGCATGATGAAGGCCGTGACTGGCACCACGGTAGGGTTTTGGACAACCATCACGATAAGATAAATGATGTACGCGACGACCACAGGCTGGACAACAGTACTCAGCAAGTCGACGAACACAATGAAACGCATGGAGAAACAGCAGAATCCACACAGCTGAGCCATGGGAATGAGTTCCATCAGGTTGTGCACCGTCGAGTTGATCCACCGACGTCTCTGGGAGAGAAACACAGCCCAAGAGTCAGGGGCGATAGTCCAAGCATGGGCCCGGTTGGTGTACTTGGTCTTGTACTTGTTGTGGTACTTGAGCAGCAACGTTGTGAGGTAACGATCCTCACCAAGATGAAGCAGGTTCTTCATGTGCAAAGTATCGACGCGAATGGTAGAGTAATCTTGGACGATTTCGCGACTGACGAACAGAGGCTTGCCGGTCTCGGCAGCGCGGATGCGGTACATCGAGAAACAACCAGGCAAGCAAGTGACGCTGCCGAATAGACTCTCGAAAGCCTTGGTGAGGTTGTGAGAGATCCAGTATTCGTAAACTTGAATCATGGTGATAAAGGATGCCTTGGCGTTGGTTAGTGCCGTCTCACCACAGACGGCAATAAGACGGGTGTCGTTAAGGAAGGCAGAAACCATGCGTGTGGCCGAGTCGGGAGCGACGACTGTGTCCGCATCGATTTGGAACATGAATTCGTAGAAGGTTGGGTTGACGCCAATAATGTTGCGAATCTGGTGATACATCTCGAGTTCCAAGGGGCTCATCTCCAAATTGTAGTGAACGCGATTTAGGAATCGCATGAGAATCATTTGAGAATCTCGCTTGCCACGGTTTCCTGGACGGGAAACCTCTGACGGCTTGCCAACCTTGACAATTACCAAGAAAGGAACAATGTGGCCTTGGACCTCGTATAGACCGGAGAAGACCTTGCCCATGTTGTGCTGCTTCTGACCTTCGCCGAGAGATTCGAAACTGAGTGGCTCGGGGTCGACCGTTTCAGAGACGCCGAGAATGTCAAGTACGATACGAGGCGTCGGCTTGTCATTACCCTGTCCGATAATCATACCGTCACACACAACAATGAGAAGCTTGCGCTTATCATCGTAATGCATCCTGGCACAAGAGTCAATGGCACGGCGAAGAGACTCCTCATCTTCCGTGTAAGCCGGAATCTGGCACATGACGAACTTGTCGAGATTCTCAGGCATATTCTTGCCGCCGAACTGGAGCGCCGCCAAGAACTTGAAGGCGAGAATAGCGCACAAAATGATGGAGATCGCGAGAACAAGATACTCGGCGAACTTGCAA